TGGGTGCGCCTCGCCTCGCCGCGCGCGCCCTCGGGAGCCCGTTTATACCCGGCGCCTCCGCGATCCGCCTCCGCCAGTTGGATGGGCAGCGGGTGGGCCGGAGCCAATCGCAGCCCGCGGTGTCGTGTTCGGCGCCGGGCGGAACAGGTGGCCGCGGTGAAAGGTGGTCCTTTGGGGAGTCGTCCTGGGGGAGGCTGGGTGGGAGCGCCCTCTTCTCCTCATAGCTGCAGGGAGGGAGATGGTGACCTGATGCCCGCAAATTACAAACCGGCAGACGCGCGGCTTTGCTCATCTCTGGCTGGCTAACTGATGGCTCGGGGTGTTGGATTAATTCACGACAGAGCGGTGTTCAGTCGCCGTTATTCCCCTCCTTTTTTAATTCGGGTTGCTTAATCTTTTTTCTATGCCAGAAGACGTAGAATGGCTGTATTCACACGACATATTTAACCTGGTGCCTGAATTAAATCATGATCTGGGCCAGCACAAGGCATTAAATCATAAGTTATACCAAGAGCTCAACACGTTAAACTGTAAACACTACGCAGGGTTAACATTAAGCCAACATATTCATGATTTCACTAGGACTAGCTAAGCATGTTGTGGAGAAAGAAAAGAAAAGAAGGTTATAAATACAAAAAAATCACACTCCAATCATTCTCTTTGCTCAAGAAATGGGAGAAGGGATACAGGAAAGATAGACACTTGTCTTTGCCCTTAGCATCCAAACTGGGACTATTCTGAAAAGTGTGGGCCTGATTATAAAAGCGGGTATATCTAGTGTAAAGTTTAGTTGATTTAAATAAATAAAAAAAAGGATTTAGTTCTGGAGGTTGTACTTAAAACTTCACAGGTGTAGGCTTCAGGTTAGGCATCTGAGACCTGTAGCAATCTAGGGTCCCCATGCAAACTCTTTGAGGCTTTACACAGCTAATGTATGTTTAATGTAAGCCTGGACTGATATATAACTCTAAGCCAAACTAAGTTTGTTTAGCTTTCGCTTAGTACATTCTGTCAACCAACCACGGTTTCTGAAAGGATGGCTCAACATCATGTGAAACTTCAGGATTTATGGAAGGACTGATACATTTATTCCAGTGCAGAAACTGGCATAAAATGTGGGACCATAGCTGGGCTGCAAAAATCCAGCTGATCATGAGATAGAATCTTGGGGATACAGAAGTCAACTTTTCTCTGCCTTCCAATAGTTATATGGATTTTTGTAGCACAAACATGGTAACTGTACCTAAGATATGAAGCTGATGCTAAATCGACTTGACCTCTTGGAAGATAGCACAGAGGCCCCCTGGGTTCACTGACTATTAGATGTACATCCCACCTTGATTTGTGCAACTTAAGGTCATGTACATCATGCTCACACCTACCATTTTCCACACAACCATCACCCTGTGGGATGGGGTGGGGTAAAAAAGAGTGAGCAGCCCAAAGTCTCCCAGCTGACTTTCATGCCATGCCCAAAAGAGGACTAGAACACACCATCTCCTGGTGATGGCGGGAACTTCAAGGATTGGTCATAAGTCCCGCTTGTTCAGTGCCAGTGTAACTTCAAACGGTCACTGAACGAGTGGTCGTTAAGTGAGGACTACCTTTACTATTTCCTTGGTTTTAAACAGCTTTAAGGATGCTCTTAAGCCAACTGTTAAACCAATGGAGGATTTGCACTGTCATATTAATATGTTTCCTGCCTCAAAATGAGGAGAAATTGTGCCATCAATTTTCAGCAGTGGTCAAAGGGAGCTGCTAATTGGCAGCAGCACCTAATCCCATCCAAGGTTAAAACCAGGTCTGATCCTGAATAGCTTTTTAAGATTGGCTGAGATTGATTGATTGATTGATTGATTGATTGATTGATTCTGCTTCAGTCAAACAAATCAAGATTGGCTAAGTGCAGCCACTTAGCTGGAGAGATTGCTTTTAACAGAGGTTACCCCTCAGCTGATAGATTGGAGCAGCCTATAAGCCTGGTAAATAAACAAATATAATAAGCAAAATGGATCTCTTGCAGACGTGCTTTGGAATTAGGATGAAATTAGCCACAGGGTGATAATTCTGGAATGCCTCATTGGGGCTATAGGTGAGGGCACATGGCTGAGCATCTACCCAGTAGACTGGATAAGCAGAAAGAAAGATATTCAGTTTCCTGTTATAACATCCAGAACAAGGAGCTTAACTCTCCACAAGGAGCGCCTCTCATGATCTGCATAGGATACAGGATGGAATGGATCCTGTGGAGGGAAGCGAAAGGCTGGAAGCAATTCCTCAATATTCAGCAGCTCAAATACCAGGCCTGTAGGAAAAGAAAGAGGGAGCAATGTGGATGTGTGATGGTTGGGTTCACGCTTCATGCCAAGCCAGGAGATCTCAAACTAAGTGGGAGAAAATTTGAGGAGGGTGGTGCAACTTCTGGGGTTTGGGCACATAGCTGGATGCTATCTTAACTCACACCTGCTCTGACTGGACAAACTGGCTATTGGCTTGTCCAAACACAGTGGAGAAGAAGTTCCAAGCATGGTCTGAAAGAAGCCTAGTGTCTTCTGCATTCAAAGCTGGACCGCTGTTAGAACTCATTCCTGTTCTGCCTGGATGAGCTAGCAGGCAGCTTGTCCAGGCAGAGTGGGAGTGAGGTTTGACAGGGTTTTGGCTGTGTATACATCAGGCTGATGGCATCTGGCTTTTCCATGCAAAGCCTGTAGTGAGTATTGATGGCTTCTACGTGCAAAGCTGGATCACTGTCAGAATGTAGTCCTCTGCCTAGACAAGCCAGCCGTGGGGTCAGGATTTTCTACAGTTCTTCCTATAAAAAGCACATATTGATCCAAAATAAATTTGGAATGAGAAATAAAAATGGCTGTCTTAAAAAGTAAAACTCATATTTCAAGAATTATATAAAACTGAACTAACTTACCCTTTCCATCAAAAATACGGCTTTAAATTTGATTGTTGCTTATTTCCAATGAACAGGATTTCCTTATGAAGTTGGCAGGTTTTGTAACCATTTTATTTGATATAGATTTTAAAAATGATTAATAAAAGGAAGTGATA